ATGTAACTCATTAAATATCGAAATTAGAAGAAGAATACACTATTTTTAATTATAGGAAATGCGTTTTTCTAAGGTACATAAACTTTTCGGATTGACCGTATAGCCAATACATCCTTAATCCGACACTTCGATTCGAAAAACTTTGGTGTATCGCAACCGAGCGGTTGATTCGGAATGCACCGCAACGGAAGTCTGCATCCTCTTTCTTTCCTTATCCAAACGGCATCGGCTGTTTGAGCTCATCGAATTCGTTAACGAACGCACGGAAGTACGTCGGAGAATAACGTTCGATTCCCTCGTTGCTCACCCACGATTTCGTAATTCAGGTCACGCGTATATCTCTCTCCCACTCTCTTTGTCTCCAGGCCCGTTATTACACGTCCGCGTATTGACTATTGTTCGACGCCGTGTTAGGAATCCCGCGCTGCTTTCGCATCGCGAGACGCCGCGAAATTCGTGCTTCCCTGCTATGACAGGCTGCGAATCGGACCCGTAAACCTACATTTTTGGCTAATTTTCTGATTAACATTGACAGTCTGCCTTATCGCGCTGCAATCGGAATCTACCTCTTTAATAGACAGCGGATTTTATACATTTATAAGAATATTGAATATGCTAAAAATATAAACGGTGCGCGTAATCTATAAAACAGTACAGAATACCAAATGTCGAATACGTATTGCAATATTTAAATGATAAAATGTTTACCTAAAATAAATTTTTTAAACCGATGACATAAATATTTTATTTTGTACAAAAATTCGCAATCTGCTTATTAAATAATGCTTATTAACTATACATATATATTTGATAGGACGAGAGAAATTTCGCACCCGGGGGATTCATCAGCCAGAAGCGATTGTATTCCGATTCCTGTGGCACTCACTACCTGTGACCCTCGTTTGTCACGTCCTTGCGGTAAAGCCTTTGTCACAGAGAGGGGGTGCAATAATCTGTTCATAATCCCACTCCGGTCAAATTGATCCTATTAACCCATCGTCACATATTCGAGCCGGCTGACCGGCCGTACGCATTCGCGTTTCTCTAATTCTCTCGTGCATTAGTCGCTGTATGTACGCGCGCAATGTTGATGCGTTCGCATCGCGGGTATATCGATTCGTTGTAAGCGGCAGTATCGATTCGCACAGAGAGGAGAAGCCGTTTCGTTAACCTCTTCAGGAACATTGGCACGTGTCTGTATTATACGTTTGGTATTTTTTTAAATTAACATTATTCCAAGTGGAAAAAATAGTAACACAGAAAATTATAAAAAAATTGTGACGTGAACAGAAATTGGGGCAATTACTACGTTTCTGTCTGTTCAAATGACGTTGTTGTATATACATTAAAATAAGAGTTTCGAATAGGGCGCGGTAATTAGGAATTAGGTACAAACGGTGTACGGCGCTGATAGCGAGATGTACATTACGGATAGATATATATATGGCGTACGCAGGATGTACAAAGTGTGTGGAGAAAGTGCTACCGAAGTACGCAGTACGAGATACACAGTTACGATATACATACGCAGCCATTGTTAACCAGCTATTAAAGTATGGTGTAAGATTACGCATCCGAATTACAATTACGTTCCGGATCTCCATCGATCCTTCGCTTTCCCGCGAAACATCCCAGACGTTTACATCGCTGATTCGTTCTAGTTGTTCGTCGCACCTGTAAAGCCATCGCGTACCACCGTTACACAAGTTCGCGTAACGGAGACGAGTGTAAAAGCTTTCGAAGCCGTTGGAACGTCCGCGCGGCAAAGCCGAGCCGAGCATCTTGAGAGGTTTTCCCCGCACCTAATCGATACCGGTTTGATAACATTCCTTGGGAAATGTCGGGTCAACGGCCGGTACGTAACGCGTTCGCATCGGGTCCTCGTGCCAACTCGCGCTTCCTTACCCGCGATCATTTGGCATAGCGCGTTGGATCGCCGCGGATCTTAAACCGTACCTCTTAGAAGGACGATTTAGGTCGATGCATTATTCCTAGCGTTAACGGACGCATCCGGAACCCGGGTATCCCTTCCCGAGTCCATTAAGAAGCCCGAGATTCATGGAATCGTGAAAAACCGAGGACGAGGTCGACGTCTCGGGCTCGCATTCCATCGGATGACACGAAAAATCTCGAAAGAAAGAAATAAAAGTATAAAACACAATGTTGGACATTGATACGGGTCATTGGAAGACTGAATGATATAAAAAAAGCATAACTTTTACGAATATGTGTCCTTCAGATGCAGTCTACTTTTTCTGTATACCCAATTTTTCTACAAATGCATAAAATCCGCATACTACCTATGATAATCGTAACTGCCGTCGCATTAACTTACTACCTTTGAAGTAGAGGCGGCTAATGCTAGAGTTGAACCTTGCGCAACAAATTCTTAACGGCCCTTTAAATAGTCCTGAGATCATCTCGGTCTTTAATAGTAATGTACCGAGATCCTCTCGTA